TTTCCTGCTCCTGTTTCACCCACAAGTAAGATGGATTTATTTATCTTGGTTGGATTTCTTTCACCAAAGGTAATTCTTCTTTTATTTCCAATGGTTTCCTCCTTTGTTTTTAGCTGGTAGAGAGTAGGAGATCCTGAACGGATCAGAACACTTTTAGAGATGATGTTGGATAAGTCTTTAGAGTTCCTGTAAAAAAAAGTTTATATTTTCTCAGTCCACATTTTATCATCACATGAAAAGCAATATAAGCAAACTTGTAAATACGATTTTTACTTTCAAAACTTTGGGGTCACTTAAAATACTAAGAGTTCAAGAAGTTCATTGTCATATACACCGCAAAACAAGTGGTTACGCACAGCAATGAAATTCTTAATTTGCAGGTTCCCTTCATACAACTAAATAAACATTTAACTAAAATAAAGAATAAACTTAACTCTGAGCATAGAAAATAATAAATAGAATAAAACAAGTGCTTATGTAGAACTTGTAGCTTTGGTGTGTTTGTAGTCAGAATTTAAAGTGCAAGAAGTTGCAACACTGTCACAGTGGTAAAATATTCAGGATATGTGATGATAAAATTGTTGTTATTGTATGAAGTTGTATTATATTGTATATAAATGTTCAAAATTGCAAATTTACAGGTCAAGTTATTGACAGCATTGTGACAGATAATCACTGTTCAACAATTAGTCAGTGATTCAGTAGCCTGATGGCCTGTGGATAGAAACCTTTTTTAGTCTGGTTGTCCTTCACACCCCTGTAGTGTCTTCCAGATGGCAGGAGCGTGAAAGCATGCACTGAGGGTGTGTGTGGTCCTTGATGATGTTGTGCGCACTTTTTCTGACCCAGGTGTTATAAATGTCCTTTAGTTTAACTTTCTTATTTTTTACTTTCTTGCAGAAAACACATTTTTATATGTTTGCATATAAACATGATTCAGTTTAGGCTACTCTCTTCTTGCTAGTTTGGTAGGTATTTGTTTCTTGCACCTTATGTTTAAATTTGACTCTCCCCTCACAACCTTTCCTCACAAAATGTTGAGCCAATGCTTTTTCAGTTTTCTGGACAATGTTGTGTCATCATTTTTGTTCTACACATTGTCAATCAAACCTAGAAGCAGTAAGTAAGCTTCTCAAACACCTGTACTTCATAAGCCCAACACAGCATCATTATATAACACAAAAACTATCACATCTAAAGGTAAAGTGCTTGTCCCTTGAAGTGGATCATTTTCCAACTTACGTACACAAATACATAACAGATTTAATGCAAGTTTTAACGGGCTGTGGATGTGAATATGCTGCAGTGCTAACTGATGCCACATGGTGGTGCCTCTCTCTGTACATTGGACTCAGGGCCACTCTAGTGAGAGCAAATAGTACATGCTCTAACCAACACCTTCAAGAGTGGAAACCTTGCTGCACTGGAATGCTGTGAGTTTAATCTCTGAGCCAATGCTAGCAAGTGCTAACAGCTGACATCACTAGCTTCTCCATCCTCACTTACTCATTGCAAGGCATCATAAAAAACATGTAGAAAGGACCGAAATACAGACTCATAGGCACATAGAAGCAAACAGAAAGTGATCTTTTATTTTCGCTGGTGTAGATCTAGAATATAAAATAACAACATCCAAAAACACAAGAGACCACTCCAGGGAAACACAACAGGTGCAAACAAAAATGGAACACATGACCTTACAAGGACCTAGGGTAAACTAAGGCTTTAAAAATATACAGAAAGTAATTGGGCAGAATGAACACAACAGGGTAAAAAGGCATAGCTGAATTAATGAACTAAACTAATAAAGGGATGATAAAAGAAGTTAAACTAAATACATGAAATAAATGTATAAATGACTACAAAAATAAATAGTAAGTAACTACCAGAGAATCACTAACAAAGATAAGGGCTTCACAGAACAATATTCAAAGCGGGAAGGCTAGACTCAAACACAGGGATCAAAATATAAATACTAAACTCGCACAGAAAAACAGTTTTTAAATGTTTAAGTTAATTGTTCAACACTGAAAGCTCTAGGGTCAAAGACCGAGGACCATGACAGCAAGTGATGAAATGAAGAAGCAAGAAGAAATATAGAACTATAAGAAAGAAATCAGTGCCATGTGTCTGCACTGAAAACCAACACAACAAACTGAGCCCACTGTCTGAATGGACACCAAAAAAAACCTGCAGTATAAATCGTGCACGGAAATCCAAGAAAAACGATGGGACTCTAGACCAGTTGCATTTGCTTTTGTAAGACCAGTTTTCTTTGAAAGTTGTTTGGATTTTTGGCCCACTGTTTAAAGTAGACCAAGCTCAGGGGTGTAGCATGAAGATAACCCTGTAAACCTGACAGTACAGTTTAAGGGGAGAAAGAGAGTTGAATGCATAGTATAAACTGTCATTATTTTCAACTATCAGCTCAGCAGCGGAAGAGAAGGTGGCGTTAATGTTAATAGAGGACATCGTTAGGCTTCTGAGTTGGTAAAACCAGAATGGCTACTGCACATGTCCCTTTCAGGAAAAAGTCTAGTTCCTGAAAAAATCACTCCATAACTGGAATTTTCAACTGGAACATCAATCAAGTCAGACTTCTGCCAACTAAGTTGTCACTCAAGCCAATCACTTTGAGTTAGCAATCCAAGATGGTGGCATTTCATGTAAACAGTTAACCATGTCGGTGGCACGCTGCGTGTGCACTGTGGAAAAGTGTACTTGGCACTCCTCTCACAAAATGTCTCATAACAACCAGACCAGTTAATTTTATCCATGTGCCTAAAAAAAACATGAGAGTCTGAACAAGTTGGGATTCTTATCCTCGGGAGCACATCTGGCCCCAAAGTTCCATACCAATACCCAGGCTCACAGAAAGCTGCCTGTTTGTGCCCCACACCCAATACCCATGTGCGCCCCACTGTTCATTACATGGTATCCCCATGCAGTAGATTTAGCAGAATTTTATACCAGATGCCATTCCTGATACAACCCTAAAGAGATTTATTTTCCCTCCCACATGTCCAAGAATCCTGCTTTGTTTTAGCCCTTCAAGAACACTTTAGAGAAAACAAGTTTACCTCAAGAGCTATTTACTACTGCTAAATATATTGTGGCAGAGTATGGTTTATGGCTTAGCTTCAGGGAAAAGGTGGAGCAGTAGGTTCAGGGGACAGTGCCATGGCAGGCTGGTCGGCACAGCTGAGATCCATCATACTAACCACACCTTTCCTATTTCAGTAGCTGCCAGGGCCCAGAAGAGGAGGAGAGGAGAACAGGACAGTACTGTGATGACCATAGGAGTGAGGTCAGATATATCATATGTCAGACAGAGATTGATGTTTTAAAGACACTCAAGAAACCTGAAATGTGATGACACTTCCAGCATTGAAAATTAATTTAAATTACTTAAAATTTGTTAGAAACTGAAAGACAAAATAATTTATATGTCTTTCACTTATTTGATGGCTTCTTTACTTATTTTTCCCACCCATTGCTTTCATGTATCGAGCTGCTCTCTTAGTTCCTTCATCCACTCTTCTTCTCATCTCGTCCAGTTTCTGGACCTTCGCTGTGTCTCCTTCCTTCTTCATCTCCTCAATCAGAAAGTCCAAGTGGACAATAGTGTACGCTGAATCAGCTTTCAGAGCGATCTGCTCCAGTCTGACAACATGTTGGTAGGACTCATCCAGTAACTGTGTCTTCTCTGCTGTATTTTTTTTCATCTCATTTTCAACATTTTCCAAAACGCTCAAATAGTTCTCACTTTCTGATTTATTCTTCTCATACTTCTGCTTCATATCTTTCATTGTCTTCTGAACTTTCCTTGTCTTGGTTACAAATTTATATTTTTCTTTCACATGATTTGTTGCAGGACACTTCCCTGTACATGAAGTACATTTACCATCTTTCATGACCTCACAGTGTTGAGGTTTCCAGGCCATTGTGCATCCAGGATAGTGACAGTTTTCCTCACAGACTGTACAGCAGACAACTCCTTGATAAAAAACCAACCCCCAAATCCCACCATCAACAGGTTCTTTATCTTTGTAGACCTCATCAATTTCTACAATGAAGTTCTCATTCCTCTTCATCTCTTCTTCATTTTCCTGCAGAGCATTTTGAATCTGTTTGAGTTCTGTCTGCTTCGTTTCTTTAGTTGTGATTCTTTGTTTCAGGTTTTCAATGCAGGCTGTCAGATTGATTCGTTTTCTCAGAACTTCTACACTTTCATACAGTTTCTGAGGTTCACCTTTTTCCAGAAAGGCTGTGAACAATTTCATTCCTCTCGCTGATATTTCATTAGCCTGTTTTAGGAATTCTTCTTCCTCTGTCCGTTCTTCATCCTGGCAGTTATTAAACAGGAAATAAATAGGCTGATTCTTCTCATTTTTGGCACATTTAATTTTTGCTTTTTCAAGAGCTTTGAGCGGGCTTTTAGGCTTTCTTCCATCTGAGTGTGTGATGAGAGCTACGATGTTTTTCTCCAGGTCTTTTCCAAACAGAGACATCATTGAATCAAACATGTATCTTGGTTTGTCATTCATTCGATTATCTGTTGCCTTCATCACTAGTCCCACTGCATGAACTTCATGAACTCCATCCTCTGATTTAAACAAGTCCAATAATTTTGGACTGATGAACTTATCGTGGTCAATCCCTTCGGTGTTTCCAAATCCAGGAGTATCGATGATGGTCAGAGAGAAGGGAAGAGTTTCATCTTCAAAACCAAAGATCTCGTACACGATCACATCTGATGTCTGACTTTCTGTCAGCTTTTTTTCAGTGTCCCCCTGAACGATCTGAAACCAGATTTCATCCTCCCACTTTACTCCCATGGTGTAGTTAACCAGAGCATTGATCAGAGTAGATTTTCCTGCTCCTGTTTCACCCACAAGTAAGATGGATTTATTTATCTTGGTTGGATTTCTTTCACCAAAGGTAATTCTTCTTTTATTTCCAATGGTCTCTATCTGTGGTCTCAGCTGGTAGACAGCAGGAGGTCCTGAACGGATCCAAACACTTTTTTTGATGATATCTTCATATTTTGATGAGGTGTTTCTGTTTCTGCAGAAAAAGTCGATAAGCTGATTTAAACACCATTTTAAATGTTTTTCATCCTTCTCTCGGTTTTTGTGAATCTGAAAGCATTTGGAAAACGTTTTGCTGTATTGGACCAACTTAATTAGTACTGTGTCACTTGTTTTGTTTTCTTTTAAGTTGTAGGTCCATCCAAACTAGGACCCATTAGGTCTTTGTCTGTGTGGAATGCATTGAGAGTAAGACAAAGGAATTTATATATTGAATTTATAAAGTACTCCAAGAAATTGAAAGAGAACAATAACATCAGTAGCTTATTTTCATTGCACAGCTAATGAGCTGTATTCCAGGAAACATGTACAACAAACTCCAAATTAAAAAATAAACTCAGAGTTGATTAACTCTCAGCAACATTGAGTTTCATATTTCAGAATAGCTGATCAGAGTAAGTTCAATCATATCTGAGTATGTTCACACTGGGTGTGTTCCAAAAATCTCCTGTTCCTAACCTCCTTTCCCTGACCTTGGTCAGGGAAAATGTCATCAAGGTCAAGGAGCAGCTGTTAGGAGAACAGCTAGAGATGATAGAGAGTGGTAATAATGCAGAAGATGGACTACAAAACATGCATCTTACTTCGCCACAATGTGTTTTAACACTGTTGTTTTATGGTTATATAAATGAGAACAGCCTGTGAAAAATATCACAGCATTAAAAAAGCTGGAATTTTTAAGAAAGAACATTTAAGGCTAGAGTCATTCATGTCTTCAGGAGCAGAAAGCCTTGTTTTGACATTAAAAAATACTGGATTTACAAAAGAGGCACAGAGCCAGTTTGTAACCTAAAATTGTGAACACAAGTGTATATGCATTTGGCCTTACGGCATAAGGATTTGTAAAGTTTTTCACTTTCAGGATAAGAATATTTAACTGAGTCACACAAATGTGAATTATAAAGTCTTCGGAACACAATTTACTGCTGTTATCGCAGTACCAAACCTCTGTCCTAAAACTCTTCAGTCAGTTCTCACAAGTGTTTAGATGCAAACTCCACCTATTGCTCCTAAATAACACTGTTTTTTTTAATGAAACAGAGCAGAAAAGAAATGAAATGAGCTTCTTTTTCTCATTATGCAATGAGCAACTTGTCATGCTACAGTAACACAGTAGTTAGGATATCTTGTGATCTGACAGTAAATCATGTTTTGTTTTCTTCTGCACATCGTACAAATAAGCTGTTCCACGCAGATTTCAGTGTCTAATACTTCAGCTCTCCTCTGAATAAATCTTGCACTATACCTGAGTCCTAATCCTCAGAAATGCACAGTGCTTTGTGATTTCTATCAGAAGAGTTACAGTATCTGTTGTATTGAAAGCATTGATTCTTTTTCAGCCTTCTCACATTTATCTGAATTGCCTCGCTGTTTTAAGAATGAAACACTTGCTCCCTCTTCAGGATTTTTGAGCCACTAATTCACATTCTCTTAACAAAATGCTGGTTTTTACTGAGGTGATCTTGCTCCCTCTTTATATAAAATGGTACATTATTATATAATTATGTGGATTGTTAGTAGGTTACGCTGCCTATTGTGACATCAATGACATTTGCCTCACTTGGTAAATCTGTCCCTAGTCTATAAAATTAAATCGATCTTATTTTCTAATATTTTCCTGCTTTGAGCCAGTGAAACTTGTTTCCTCCTCCCTGTTTAGGATTTCTGTCACAGCAGTAAAATTCCCTCCATTCATCAGTGATCCAAGCTCCAAGTAAAACTCACTACTAACTCCTGGTTCTTCCCACAGTCCAAAGACATGCAGTTAGTGGGGTTAGATTTATTGGCAGTTCTAAATAACCCATAGGTGTGAATGTGAAAGAGAATGGTTGTCTGTTTCTCTGTTAGTTCTGGGACAAACTGGCGACCTGTCCAGGTTGTACCCCACCTCTTGTCCTATGGTAGCTGGATTAGATTCCAGCCCCCCACGACCAAGACTTTAATGAATTTAAAGTTTTGTTATAAAATCTAAACATATTATAGACATCTCAGCTTTTACACCTTTTAGATTTTTCAGTACAGCTTTGAAAGGATGAGACATTTTAAACAAGGGATAGGGCTAAAGATCGAGCCAAGATAAAGTAAACCATTATGAACAAATCGACACATGTTGAGCTGGGAAATAACCAGAGCCAAATAGGATCTGAGCCCAATCCAGTCTGAAACTATGATCCTTGTAGACTGGGTCACAGTTTGATGATCAGTTACGGAGTCTATGAGTCTATCTTTGGGTTGATCCAGTTCTCGGTCGACCGAATGAGAATGATTAAGGTGATTTTTTTAGTGAAAACTATGTTGAGAGTTAATGTTGTTTGAAATTTAATGGCTTAATTTTAATCTGATCAAAGTTTAACATGAAATATTGGCAGAAAAGACTACCTGCAGCTGCTTTTAAAACTTTACTCTAAATACCTTTAGTTCAGTTTTAGAGACTTAAAGTAATTTCAGCTCATCTTCACTCAAATATTTTCATCATCTCCAAGATCCAACTGTGACACACATTTTTCTATTAGTGTGACTGCTTTAATTAAGACAAATGATTGTGCATTGATTCCCTGTAACTGGCAGTGTGACAGCATCACTGTTCACAAAGACTACAAATTTATTCTGAGCTGTGACATAATCGCTGTCACTGTCCTTATATACAGTACTAATGAGTTAATAAATGTAAAAGTACAAAAAACTAACAAAACTTAGATTTTGGGTTTTGTAAAATCTTGTGAATTTCTCCAAATTAATTCTCTCCTCTATGCACTTTGACAGCTACTTAATGGTGGGAGGAGTCAGAGAGAAACTGCCAGGAGGCAGGTTAGGTTCGCAGACTGTGAGTCAGTTACTGTGGTAACAGAGTTTAAGCTGACTCTTTGTGAAACAAAAAACAGGAGTTTCTCTGATGTCCAAGTTGTTAGCTAAACCAGCTTCCTAGAATAGGGCCCTGCTAAACTACAACTAATAAGAGGTGCAGCAGCTACACCGCTGTATGTATGTATCTTTGGCAAGAACCTGAGTGCAGTAAGGATTCATAGATGTACTTTGTGTTTCCTTCCTCCAACTAAATGATAACAAAACTGAAGTCCTCTTATGTGCCCCAGATAGACATAGACCCAGTATAATAAATGCTCTTGGTCCTCTTTCA